CCAAAAAAATAATAATCCTTCAAAATCTATGGTTTGTTTTTCAAGGAAGAGAAAATAGGAAAGAAATATACCTGACTAATGATCAAACATCACATTTGAAACATCCTTTATGTATGTGTATATAATACACACTTGCATATACATACATATAAACATACACGCAGACAAGCAAGCAGGCACACACAAAGGCACAGACACACACACAGACAGGCATGTGCACACACACAGAGACAGACAGACAGGCACATGAGTATGCAGGCATGGAGGGAATTAAGGGAGAGATTAAGACAAGGAAGTAGAAAGAAAAATTCATCATCGTAAATTGTGAAAACAAACATCCCATGTTATGTAAACAATGTTAATTTATTTCAGTTCTACAAATATGATACAAAATGAATCATTATCCAAAAGAACTGTGTACACACAGCCTGCTACTGTTTTGAGCATATGTAAATATTTAAATTACATACCTGATGTTTTCAAAATAATTCAATATTATTAAAGCATGCTCTTTGGGTGCCACAGTAGTGTAGTGGCTAGTGGCTTGCCTCCTCTCCTGTAGGTTTTGGCTTCAAATCTGCACTGGGCGGATTTACTGACAAATGACTGCAGCTCCTATGCTGTCTCAGCCTAAAATAGGTTCCATTCAGAGGTCAGGACTCGAATCGTGCAATTCGGACTCTAATTAATGACTTGTGGCTTGACTAGGGATTTTGTCCAGCAACTCGTGACTTGACTTGTGGCTTGACTAGGGATTTTGTCCAGCAACTCGTGACTTGACTTGTGACTTGACTAGGGATTTTGTCCAGCAACTCGTGACTTGACTTGTGACTTGACTAGGGATTTTGTCCAGCAACTCGTGACTTGACTTGTGACTTGACTAGGGATTTTGTCCAGCAACTCGTGACTTGACTTGTGACTTGACTAGGGATTTTGTCCAGCAACACTTGACTTGTGACTTGACTAGGGATTTTGTCCAGCAACTCGTGACTTGACTTGTGACTTGACTAGGGATTTTGTCCAGCAACTCGTGACTTGACTTGTGACTTGACTAGGGATTTTGTCCAGCAACTCGTAACTTGACTTGGGACTTGTAGCTTCAATGACTTGGTACGACTCCTTCTTCGCAGCTGACCACTGTGTGATCAACGTCACAAATTTAAAATGTAAAACAGGACAGAATAAATTATATTTTGATTTATCATATTTAATTTGTTCCGCATTGATATAGATAGTGAGATTTTCGCACCGCCATTGTCGGTTTTGTATTTTTGCCGTCTTTGATTGTTCCACGCATGACTTGCAAATGACTTGGGTATATGAAGTGATTTGACTTGGGACTTGACTTAGAAGATGCATTCTTGGTGACTTCAAACTTGACTTGGGATCAATGGCTGAGACTCAACTTTGACTTGAAGGATGATGACTTATTCCAAACTCTGATAAAAAGGAAGTAAAGGTGGTTGGGTGAGGGGGGAAGGGTGGGGAGAGTGAGTGCTGACCACATCACTCGTTGAGTGCTAATTGGTCTATAAAAGCGTGGGTCTAGCATAATATGTCGGATGTGCCACTGGGATAAAAGGGTCCTTTACTTCACAAACCCCCACCCACCCAATGTTTTGCTGTATCCTGTTGAGAAATGAGAAAAATTATTTCAACATTTAATGAATTACTTTATAATTCTGAAGTACCCTGTTCGGGATGGTCTGATTTGAAGTTTTGGTGCTACTTGTAGCCTTCATAATCCAGTTTGTAGTCAGTAAGAGCAATAAACATAACAAAAGATATGACTATCAGACACTAGAACTTTTTTATGTAAACACGACCATATAAAAATAACACTGGCTCCCCAAAAAACTTTTTTTAAATTGTACATATCCACAATGAAGATTGGCTGTAATGTATCTGGTACTAACTATATGGAAATATTATGTGATGAGGCTGCAGTCTCTTCCACAGTGGGACTCATACAATGAGTGGGAAATCCCATGATGTCAGAAGGGGTTCCCCAATGGGTCAAGAGTTCAAATGCCAGTTAGGGAATAAATAGTGGGAAGCATGTTTAAAGGTAGATTGTAAGTTCCTGTGACTGAGCAAATGTTTCAGAGAACTGGAAAATCTTACAGCAGACTCAAGTGTCTGGTGAATAAAGAAGAATGACCGAGTGGACGATGGAAGCTTTTTGATAATTGAAGTTGGGAGAGAATGCTTGCTGTGTACCAGAGACTAAGAACAAGGGTGAATGGCAGTGAAAAGTCCAGATAAGGCAAAGGTATATAAGCACCTTCCTGATTCAGAATTAATAGCAGCAGAGAAATACTTCCTAGACAAGTCAATGACAGAGATGAAGTTGACACGACTGATGGATCAGCAATAAACATTTGTGTGTGTAAAACTGGTCTCTTTATCTTGGTGTGTCGTTACTACTAACTCAGTCAATTGTGATAGATGAGAGCCCAGGTCACTGTAGTCCTGTGAATAGACAGAGAGTCATCACTGTCTGAAAGCTCTGAAAATAGTCTTCTTCTAAACCACCCACTGTGGAAATCAAACCTGACAAATGTTGAGGATTGCATTGTGAAACAGTTTCATATATATCTGAGCCACAGAACTACTGGGTGACAATCACATACACTTAAATTATGTTGCAGTAGCCTTATTATAAACTAGTATATGCAATGATTAACTTATTTAGAACTACATGGTATTATTGCAACATTTTGGATGAAAATTATACCCTATATAGTGTTATTGAATATTGGTAGAATATTGGTATATAAGGCAATGTGAAATAGATTATATAAAAATGTAAAGTAGAATTATCTTAAACTGCAGTGATGGAGGTCAAGAATCAACAGAGGCATTACTGAGCAACAGCAAACTCCAGTGGCCAGGTTTCACCCTGAGAGGGTAGCAGAAGCTAATCAGATGTATTGCAAATAAACTTAAGGCCAAACAACAAGATTTTAATTCACTGGAATTTGTTTTATTCTCTCGCTAAACACATAAGTGATTCTTACATTTCATTTTACTTTCTATTCTGTGAAGGAATCAGTTAATGAAAGTTTGTAGTATATCAGTAATTGTTTTAGACATTTTCCATGTTTCTGACTTACTGAGAACCAGTAGTACTCAGTGATATATAAAGTTCACTCCACAGAGATATCCCTTTAAATATGAGGATCATACGGCCCGAGGTGTATCATACGGTCTGGGGTGTTTTGCAGGTCTCTAGTTTTTTGGTACTAATCATTATGCTAACATTAATTAAAGAAAGAACTATTAACCATGACACAGTTAATTTTAATCATGGTTTCTTTCTGCCTTCTCTTGCTTTGCATTGTTTGAATTATTTTAGTCTCCTAACACTTCATAACTTAACATTTATATATTTGTGGCAGTTTAGTCACAATGTAACTCTTTCAGGCCCATCAATTTGGACAGACTTGGCTCACATTAATTTCCCCTTACAAAAATTACAGAGAGGGTGGTGTTGAAAAAAAGGCTAATGAGATTGTAATATATTTCAGATCCCTTTTAAAAGTATATTTTTCAAAGATTAATGATTGTACATTTTAAATTTGATGCTACTTTTTTGTTTCATACTGTTATAATAGTAGACAAAAAGAACTCTGCAGGTGTTATGTTTACAAAGACAACATTTTACCCAAAAAATCTTCACTTACCATGGTTTTGAAGCCACTAGAGCAGTGAATATCCATATTTGAGAATAGCACTCTAAAGTTTGATCAGTTTCCTAACAAATTCAAGAGTTATGATACCTTTATGGGTTAATTTATCACTCAGAGGCTCTAGGTTCTAATTGTGTGCTGAACACAATTTCAAAGAAAAAAAGTGGCAGAAAGTTGGAACTTTAGGCCTGTACACCAAAAATATTAACTTTGTTGTTATATACAGACAATGCAGCTTAACCATAGTATGAGTATGCTACTGTCAGAAACAGTTGTTATGATGCAAATATGAATGGCTATCACATCCTTCACAAATGAAATGGGTCCTCGTAGATTGACCTCATTAGAACAAAAAGCTGACCACTCAGCTGCCACTGCTGTAAATTTACTGTCAGAATCAATTTTCGAAAAGTCCGAATTTTTCAATAGCCACAGAAAGGTGCATTTTTTGGCCTGTGCATATGTTTAGAACATTGGTAACCATGGCCACTTGAACACGAAATCAGAAAATGCACTGTCTGAAAACATGCTAGCATGAATCTGATCAGTTTGCACCCACATATGTGAAAACATAGACTTGCTTACAAAGAAAAACGTTAGAGTAACCTTTCCTGAATACTTTAATGGTAGTTCTGAACATTAGAAATGAATATGGAGCTATATGCAAATCGGCATGTACGGGACATGCAATTGACGCAGTCTTTTTTGAGCAAATCAGAACTTCTCAGTCAACACACACAGTGTTGTTCGGGCCTCAGAACGTTAAGTAACATCATTTCATATCATATGATTTTAAGTAACATCATTTCATATCATATGATTACACTTGTGTATATGTATATGTAAGTCAAACTGATATTTCATGATTTAAATGAGTTCATTATAGCCAGCCCAAACTGGGTACCAGGTATAGTCCTGGGAAGTATAGGCGAGTGCCGTTTGGTTTGATGCACTTCTGGCATAAAGAGAGTTCTTTACTGTTCACTTACATCATCATGAAGTCTACATGAAAACAACCAAAAATGTGACTAGGTAAAAGCAGTGAAGGGAGAAGCAAGGTGGACACAGGCAGAAGTGAATATTTCTTCCAAAGTCTTTATCAGTGAATAAATCAAGTAGAATTCCTTACCACAATGCAAAATTGTTGTGGTGTAGGACTCTTGCTTTATCATTGATAAAGGCTTTGGTAAGAGCAAATTAATCTGTGTGTGTGTTTCTTTTCCATCATTGAGCTTCACAGCCATAGTTTGTGTCAGATCATTTAGTTTTCAGCAGACACATCTGTTTTACCCTAGAGAACACACGAGGTTATGTAGCTTCCATGGCCATATTTATCACTAATTCCTTCCTGGAGACATCACCAAAAACAGCATTTGCAGCATCTTTCTCCTTCTCCCATTGAGCCTTTGTTATGGTCAGATCTTTGCCTTCAGGGACGTAGAGCAGTCTGATTGGATACGGGTGACCCTTTATCCCTGCTAAGATCATGTGTCCATCTGGGGTAAACTGGGCACAGGTGATGGGACAGTCAAATGTGTGACAGGCTTCAAAATGACCTGAAATAGTTCATCAGCTGTTATGGACAATATACATGTTCTTAGACTTTTCAGTGTTATTATTATGATTTCAGAATAGTGTAATTATAAAGGTATTAGTTTCACAAGGACTATCACGCCGACATTAAAATAATAGAAACAAGTATTATAATAATAGTTGGACTCCAAAGATGGACTCAGGACTCACTACCTTGGCAGCACAAATACTAACGTGGACTACAAGAGACTAACCCCACTTATACATACACAATCACAACCTAAATTAGGAGCTTGGACAGGCAAAAAGGATTCCCACTCAAACTAAAAGATTAACATACACGACCTAGGCATGCAAAGAAGGACAATACAGCACATTAGTAGAAGCACTTACATTTATAATGGCACAAAAACTATTAAAGCCATTTAGTTTTGCACAAATAGCACATCTTAGCCAGTACACTTGGCACAAAGAAACTAGATCACAGTTATAACTGAAGCTGCTCGCAGAATGTTGAACATGGTTAATTTTTTTTCTTGCTAAAATGAATGGATAGGATGGCTGGAGTAATTTCACATCATAATTAGCATTGTCAAGTGACTACACAAGTGGGAACAATTAGCAAGCATGTTGATTGTCAAGTAGGGACCACCACATAAAGAAAACACTGTGGAAAAGGGGCGATCTAGTAACTGAATATTCTAGAGAGAAATCAAAGAGACAATGAGCTGCTTCAAATAGACCATAATAATAACAGTTATGTTAATGTCCGGAAATGCAAATAAATACAGAATATATAATGTATAATAATATATTTGAAATAATATGGCACTCAAAACAATGTTTTCTGTTAGTGAATTTAAAAAAAGGTGCATTACTACATCAAGTCCTAACAATACAAATGACAATCCACCTTATGTAAACAGAAGGAGTTCAATAAAAATTGTAAGTTACCAAAGTAAGTCACATGACTTTCATCAGCTTCCAGCAGATGGACAAGCAGTTTATTGAGAGAGACCATATTATGTGTATTTTAGTGGAATTAATTAAGTTTTTGTGCTACATTATATGTTTACGTACCTCTAGTATTGCATCTGATGAGGTACAGTGAAATATGCCTGGCAATAGACTGTGCCATGTATTGATTTTGACCTTCTTATTTCAATAATATGACAGGTTCAAAGGGGCTAAACCCTTAGGTTCTGGCACCTCTGGTGACATATGAATCACTGAATGAAATGATGACTGAATCTGCAACCATAACCAAACTGAAAGTACAGCAAGCCAAAAGGGGGAGGCATACATAAGTGCTGCTATGCAGGGTGCTAGAGAAGAACAGTAAACTGACGCAGAACTTGTGTCATGAGTTGCTATACGCTGAGGGATATATTAAGAAGGAAACTCAAGAACTTATGAACTGAAGGGTTTGGTGTGTAGTGCTATTGATCTCCTAACTAACCATGATATTGGAAACGCAGTGGCTGCCTTATGCAGGTAAAGCATGTGCAGGTTGCTGGATTATGCCAGAACTGCTGCCTGTTTCATTTTTAACTGATCAGGGATCAGTGATAGGCGTATGGTATTCACTAGCACTTCTTCTTAAAGTCCATGCCATGTGGCATTTGTAGTCATGTCTATTCACAACAACCTTCTGTCTCTACTTTCAATCAACTCTGAGATAGATGATCTTCCATGCCATGATGTCAAACTGTCCAGCATCTGTTCTCTCGGTCTCCCTCTGCCTCTCCTCTCCTCCAACTTTCCTACCGTCACGATGTACTCCAGTTTTCACTGGCACAGAATGAGGCAATTTTGGTGGGAACCTTTTGCTGTAAAGTTAGAACCCTGATTGATAACTGATAACAACACTGTTTTTTTGGTTTGGTTGTTGCTTGATAACAACACTTTTGTGTGTGCTAGATAACGGACTTATGATTGATAACAGTTCCCGCCCAGATGATCTGATGATCTATACAGATGACTCTGTGTTGAGAGGCAGATGAAGTGCATGAGGGTTCCTAGCAAAAGCAGATAAATATTGCTTAGTGCAGCAAAGCCTGGCATATGCGATCACAAAGTCTAGTTTGAGAATGAAGGCAGAGGCAGTCACTGCTGGCTTGAGAATCAGCTGTACATACACGTTGTAATTATAACGTACTTACAAAGCAAGTTGACAAAAGGTGGAGACAGGCATGCTTCCTGCAAAATGGCAAGCATCACTTTAGAGGTCCGGGGTAGTTTATCCTTTGGATATTTTCTCCAGGTGATGTGGTGTGCTGGAAAATGAGCATGCGGATAGACTGGCCAGTTCTGCACCACTTGGTGGTGAATTAATGCTTGACAAGCTAGATGTTGTCAGGGCCCTTTGAGAGTGAGTGAAAAGTGTGAAGGAACAAGTAGATCACCATGGTCTGTGAAGAATGGTGCAGCGAGGAGCAACCAGGAGATCTGACCAATGCTCAACATTCAGAAGAAAGGCAAGAGAGATATAGATCAAACTGCTTCAGATATTAACGTTGCTTCTTGCTCCTGAAGATGGGGGTGGAACGCTTATGGGAATGTCTTGAGTTTTATGATGTTGATTCTTATTTCAAAATTTTTTGTTTTGTTAGTTCTAACCTGCGTTGAGATTCCATAAACTAAGAGTGTGGGAGCTGATTGAGCTGTCTTCTCTGTGTGTTGTCAAGCACATACTTTCATCAGGCGTGAGGCGGATATTGTTGATAGCAACTGGTGCACCGTCAATGAGAAATCTGAGAAATATATATGTGAGATTCATTTTTTGGAAAGTTCGATACATAAAATATGAAAGTCACATAGTTATACTCCACAATTTGTGGCAACTGCACTAGCTATTAAGTACTTGGGCTTATGACCACCCCCCCCCCTTCCCCCCTTTTTCCCTCCCCTAGCGACTGGTCCTACGCCACCATAAAAGTTGTAAATTCATTAAGTGTAGACATTTCATTTTGGTAAACTATATTTAATATGAATGGAGCCACTGTACTGTAGTAGCTAGACACTCCCCTGTGGATCCAAAGGTCATGGGTTCAAGTCCGAATAGAACTATAATTTTTTCCCCTTAAAAATGACCTTAGCTCCCAGGATGGCCCAGCCTTGAGTGGGTACCAGGACGAAGTCCTAGGAAGTAAAATTGGCCAGTGTGATGTTCACCACATCACTCACCGAGTGCCGATTGGTCTATAAAATATAGTTCTAGCACTCAGTGCCCATTACGACTAATGGACTTCTTATGACATTCTTGGTAGGTAAGTCGAGGTGAGTGGTCTCGAGGTATAGTGTCCGTCTCGACTGCAGGAGGTCCCGGGTTCAAGCCCGGTGAAGGCTGGGATTTTTTCACGTGGACTTCTAGTAATTGTCCCTGGGATCTTGGTAGTAGGATCAGACGCCCATGTCTATTCTTGCGCACGCAAAAATGCCTTGTTGGCAGTTGGAAATCGAAAAGAGTAGACTAACGGCGCTGTCCTGAAAATAATTTGAAGTTAAAAATGTGCCCACAGTATTTCAGGATCCTTGCCGGTGCAATGGAGTTCGTGCACTGCGCTGAGACTTCAGACTCAGGCTTGAGTTAGAAATAGAATAGAGCACTTACTTGTTACACCCGTGCCATGATGTTGATCCGTCGAATAAACATAAACGTGGTATGTAAGGTTAATTTTACTTTTCTTTACTTTCCTAAATGGCTTGGGCAACCCGCAGGCAAACAATCCCACTACAGACACATGCACTCAGAGGGTACATACTTGTGGCTTCCAAGAACAAGATCCCAGACTGCGAGCTGACCCGTATCTAGAGCCACGATAACACTCATTGTCTTTGAGGCTAAGCTGACAGTCGTACAGGCGCCATTCATCTTGAACTTTTTGAACAAGTGGCCGCTGACGAGGTCATACACCACAACGAAGTTCGATGTTGAATCCGTAATTTCCTGTGAGCAGTAATTATATATTTTGCTATAAATATATTCACATGGTTGGTGGCATCAAAGTATGAAACATTGGGGTGATGAGCATGATTGTGGAATATTTAATGAAAGATAAAGAACTTTAAATAGTTCGGGAGACGCCCTGAAGAGCCAGTAGAACTGAGAACGAGTGATCATACAATTTCTTTTACAGACCGTGTTACTACTTTACATGCCTCCCATTAACTAATCAATGAACAAATCAGGTATCGTCTCCATAGCAAAGGTTGGCTGTAATGGATCTCCTACGTTCCTCATTGTTAGCTTTACGTTGTTTGATGGTGGATCCCAATCTCTCCCACGACTGATTGATCGACCCCCCACCCCGGGCTACTACGTAAAGGTTTACCAAACCGTTCCAAGATTTTCTATTTTTTAAGCCTCAATCTAGACCGCACAATAGCAAGGCAGATCCTAGATCCATCGTTCATCCTCCATAGAAGTTAAAATTAGGGCTGCCCATGTAATCTATAGTTCTATGCAAGTAAGGACTTGTGGGTCTTTCACGATGGTCAACCGTGTTCTTTAACGTTTCCCGGACATGCCTCATGTGTGTCATACGTTGTACTATTTTACGTTTCAAGTTCTTCGTCCCAGTCTCTGTGTACCAGTGATGGACTTTTCCTGTTTCGTAGGCCGTTACTCTATTCTACTCATGTGGGTTAATCATTAAACCAAGAATGATGCATGTAAGGTGGTCTTGCTGTACACAAGGAGTAAAAAAACAGTAGAGTCAGAGGTAAGGGAACTTTTAGATCAGCATTCACACCCAGAAGATATCATCCTCTACACAGATGGGTCCGTGAGACACGTATCAAGGTCAGCATTGACATACACAGCACAAAAGATGGGGGAAGGGGGGGGGGAAACAATAAAAGAGGACAGTGGCGCTTATTAGGTAACTATGTCGAGCAAGACCATGCAGACGATGACCACTGTTTCTAGACAACTAGAATGGGCAGCAGAGCAAACAGCCACGCATGCAGTAATTGCATCAGAATGTTTCAGAAACTAGCAACAGGCAATATGTGCTTTAAATGGCCATAAAGCATTAGAGAATCACACTTAACCTCCTTCACCTGGATCTACACATCTGATCATGCAGGCGTAAAAGACAATGAGCGAGCGGACCAACTGGCAAGCGTCGCACTAAAACATGTGGGAAGAAGCATGGACAGAGCGTATATCATCAACGCTGTACGGACTGGGTTAGTGGATAGTGATAATCTCTGACACTAACACGATAGGGCGACATGGGAGTAAAGCATGGTGAAGCACGTCTATACCACTTTCGAGGCCGATATAGGAAACATTATAACCAGGTCCTCATGGAACCAATTACTAGAAGTACATTGGAGTGGTTGCTACCTCGGTTATTGTCAATCTCATTATCTCCTTGTGAGATGCAATTTGTCTCTATTTTGAAGCCCCACCCCGGCTCTTGCCAGGGGCCGCAATATAGTCCGACCAAAAATATGGTCTAATGGCTGAACGCGGTTTCTGGGACCTCTCCACGGGTGATCCTTATCCACATGGTGGTACTTTGTGTCATCGGGTGTTTATCGCTTGTGTGATGTCCTGGTGGGGTAAAAATCTACTACTACTGCCTCGGCGGACTGAGCACGTATGGAAATGCCAAATGTGCAGTAACGTCGACTGACTGTGTTGATGGCAACATGCCACCTTCTGCACATGTCATTGAGAGATCTGTTGCTCGCTGCATTCTTAGATTTGCCACTGTGGTGTGTTCATCAGTACACAAGAGTGCCATATCATCTGCATACAGGACAGCCATCAATCCTGTAGAGAGGTCCTTCACCCGGTCATTGATATAAGCAAAGAATAAGAGTTAGAGAGATAACTCCTCCCTGTGGTACCCCTTGATGAAGTAACACTTGTGATAACATAATAGTAGTAATAATTATTTAAAAAAAACCCGATGGGCTGAAACGATGGCATGGAGGCATATTAAGAGAGCTGTTTCATGCAACCAGAGGTCGTGACCTGGGGAGATGCATGAGCGCCTACGCCAGTTGGCAGGGCACATGATGATGATTCCTTCCACCCACCCCTCTCAGTGAATACACCCGGTGCAGCCCGTACGCCCCCTTGCTTGGCTTGCTTTGTGAAAAAAAAAATGGTCACGTTCAACCAGCATCTCCGAAGGGGGAGCTTTATGTTATAATTGTGACCAGGTTATGTGCGCCGTATAAAATGGCTTAGCATTGCTCGCCACCCAATAGCTATGGAAAGGACTCTTGCTGTATTTATACGATCAAAGGAGACAGATACTGTCCCGACCGGCTACGAAGTCGTCTACCGGCGAGCCAGGGATCGACCCTGTCCCTGCACGCCCTCTTCTGTGCGTCTGCTCTAATAATTACAGAGAGCTATGATTACTCACCCTACATAAACAAGCCAGATACTGCCCATTGTGGGTGATATCTGCATGTTGTGTGATGAATTCGTGCTGGGGCATCCTGATGTCATGCAGCAGCTTGGATTGTTCCAGACTCCACACCAGCAGAGGGAAGGGTTTCTGTGTCTCGTCGCCACACACCAATATTTTGCCATCGCCACTGATGATCAGACTGTCTAGAAATCTCGTTTCGCCTGCCTTTAGAAAAGTTGGCCCATCAATGATAATGCATTTCTTCAGTGCAGGTTGTAGAAAATGCTCATAGAGCGTTACTGTGTTTTTGTAAAACTTCATTTTTCTTCGCGTTCACCAGCTGTAAACTCTGGCAGAAAGTTCTGGTTGTGAGTCCACTTCTGGACTGCTGTCCTTTTCCAGAAACCCGAGTGATGCGTGCGCATCCATTTTACAGCTCTGACCCATTTGTATGCAGACTGTTGATTCCTTGCCTCTCAGGCAGATGCACTCTGACTTCGAAAGAAGCTCCCAATTAGTTGACTCTTACGACATCCTTTTGGATAGGCAGTGGGTATAGTCTTGTTTTCCCTACAATAGGGCATCCATTAGGGGATTTTGTTTCACTGATTTTCCAATTACAGCCACTTACATATACTCACTCGACCCACTCACACCTGACAGTAGGTTACTTCATAACCGCCGTATTTCCAAGGGTCTCTGTGAGTTCCCAGTATAACGGTGTTACATGGTTGAACAGGATGTAGGTGATTTGCGGCTGTGGGATATGCAACTTAATAGTGGCTTTTTGAATCACTGGATGTACATTTTGTCAGTCTGCAAAATCGATAGAAAAAAAAAGGTCAACAGCTAATATGTTTTAACTAAACATATGAGATATTGATGTGTACAACTTTGGTACTGGCACAAAGAGCGCTAATCAATGGCTGCAAAAAAACTATACAGTATGTAAATCAATCGATGGGAAACCCTTGTATGTGATAAATACAAACAAATCTTCGGGGACCGGTCTTCTTGTCTCTATTTATTTATTCTGTATCTGTTAGTAACAATCAATACACTGCAATTTGCTTATTATATTGATTGGTTTTTCTTCTAAAAAATAATGAAAATGCCACGGTAGAGCAGTGGCTAAACATCTTGACCAGTAGTCATGTGTTCAAATCTCGCATGAGACGGGAATTCCCCTCCACAGCCCGGATTATCAGACCGACCCAGTCTAAAACGGGTATCAACAAATTTCTGTTTCACACCGAGTCTTGACTTATCTGAAAACCTGACGCTAGTCGTTAGCACCACATAATTAATGGGCCTCGTATAATTTCGAGGAACCTTTACAATACTTTCAAATTACTGTCACATTTACTACAATTTCTGCAGAGATAATCCTACAACAGTTTACAAATATGAGAACAAGAGATCAATGCTACAAGAATCATAAACAACAAAGAAAGACCGCCCTTTATTTGATGCTGCTCATAGGCTCGCAAGATGGACAGAGATTTCCAAGAGCATCTCAGCACTCAAAGATTAGTAGACAACGTACCTAAATGCAGTGAACATCAAGAACCACACTTTCTCACATCAGAAGTAAAATCTGTTTTACAGAAGAGCCCTAAAAATAAAGCACCTAGTTTAGAAGGAATAACTACGGAATCCATCTAAACATTGGGCAAACTGGCAGCTCAAAAGGGAAATAAAGGACTGGCAGTAGGTATTATAATCCGTTTCACAAGTCCTGCCGAATTTTACAAATCTGTAACTCAGTAACCGTTCAGTGTCATTTTTTTAATTTTGGCATGCAGACTGTCAGTTATACTACCCTTTATCTTTCCTTCCTGAATATTCTGACAATGGTTGTGTACACACCTAGATGACTAGCTCAGTACTTGAGCTAGTCAGAAACACTAGTCAATCCAGCTAATTTTTGGGAATGAACCAGTGTAAATATTTTGACTTGCCAGCCCTTACTAACAACGTCTTCTTGTTGCATCATGACATAAAATATTATTCTTACCTTGAATGTTGCCACAATTCCTCCAGTGCTAATGTCTAAAATATTTACTACCATTCTGTCTCGGGAAAGAGCTACAACTTTCTGGTCACACTGGAGACCGAAGAATGGCATACGTAGATTGAGAACACCCCTGAGTTTCATTAGGAGCACTCCTCTGTCCAGGTCAATGACCGCGAGTTCACGATTACACAGAACAACCGCTCTGGTTGAATCCAGCATGATCACATGTTTAGGAGCATCCACACCTCGTAATGTCCTAACTACCTGATTTGTTACAACATTTATCACTCGTATTTCATTTTGTGATGAAAGTGTGTAAATTATGTGAGCTTCATGTACGTCATTTGATACAGGGACTATTGCATCAACGAAGGGTACAGACGTTGAGGAGTTTGAAATCTGAGACAGAGAAACATTGCTGCAGTCGAGTGTGTGCAGTAAAGGTACAGGAGGACGAGAAAACCAAGCTAACAGTTTCGTTAATCCATTGTTTGATTTCGACTGGGATTTGTCGTCGTGATCGTTAGGTTCAGATGTGTATGTCATGAGATGTTGAAGACATTTGTAGATTTGTCTTCCCTGAACTTGAAGTACACAGAATGACTGAAGTACTGCTTGTTGTAGAGCTTTAATTTTCCCACTGCAAATCGAATCTAGAAGTTTCGCGTGCTCAAGATCACAGACAACTTGTGGGACAGAAGTGGAATCCAGTTTCTTTTCAACCCACGGCAGGTTGAAAATGTATGTTTCTAAGGTGTGTGCATGTTTACTGCTAGCGTGCATGACGTGAAACGGCAAGCACATGAATTTACGAACATTCAAGTGTTTCCCAAAGGCATCTGGTTGTGGCATGACAAAACGTTCTTGCAAGTGTCTCTTTTCTCCTTCTGCACCGGAACCTGAGATTTTCTTGCATGCCCAGCGACCCAGAAAATAGTCGCACATTTCCGTGTGCAACTTTTTAGACGCTGTCGCACTAACCGCATATCTTAATGCTGCAAGTTTCCTGAAAGAATTACTGGTCCATGAATAGGTATAAAAACGCATAGAAAGAAACATGTTGAGGTGGTTTCTGAGATAGAATGTGATCAGTTTCCACAATATAGGCGGAGCTCTGTGAATTGGTGGATGTTTTACATCGGAGTAAATAGATGTCAACACAGAATCATTGACGGATATCAAATCAGCCATTTCCCATTTGCTAATGCCGCCTATAGATAGCGTAATATAAGACATCATAGCCGAGAAGCAGTTTGGTGGAATGCATCGTTCTAGATGGTCAAACAGTTTGTTGACGATTCCCTCCAAGGAAGACGGTAGATCGTCTTCTTTGACTTCAGTCAGAGCTCCCCAGGTGCAGGCTATCTTTGCTGTGGATGTTGCATACATCGGTAGAGGGCACTGCGTGATGGCGGCCATAACAGATTCATTTTGAGGTTCTGTCAGGGTACGTTTCTTCATATTCATTCTACTGGTAAACACGTCCAATAAGCCTTGCGTATCCCATGATGATGCTTTCACATAAAATGCATCTCTCATCTGTCAGGAAAGAAATAGAAATATTTATAGAAAACAGTTACAAAGGTTTTCATCCCTGTGGCATATAATTTCTGCAAAATAGGCTGTTTCTCCGGTCTCTAAACAATCAACTGCTAATTCGTAAACCTGTTAAGTGTTTTAGTTCTACACCGATAATCGTCCACGATCCTCACCTTCACAGGTCTGCAGGTTAAACCAGGTTGGTTTAGTCGTTACGAACCACCCAATTATAATTTCTTTTGAGGTTGAACTGGCTATTTAGATTTGGCCCTTTGGCTTGCCACCCAGATTGTATAATCCCAGAGTGGTTTAACTTTCATGCAACAGTCCTTAGGGGGAAAAGTCAGAAGAAATCAACCGGAAGAAAGCATAACGTAATGGAAACTACTTCTTGCAATGCAGGTCCCAGGGTGACCTCTTTCTGAGGCGAACAGTGGCAGGCTACAGATCCTGATGTCTCCACTCCAGCCATGAAACAAGTCCAACGAGTAAGCACTACAAACACCCCAGATATAAATGTTGTTTTCAAGTTGAAGGCTTTAAAAAGACCTCCCAGGACAGTATCATCGTTTCGCCAAGCAGTGTGATCTAATGCCCGAATGCTTCAACCAACTCTTGTGACGATCCTCAGTTGCATGCTTGTTTCCTAACAGCTGTTTGACTTCATTCTGCCACACCTGCTAATACACTTTTCATTGATTCATTAACAAATCAGATGTTTGATTACTCATCGTACAGCTTGCCCGAGAAATATTACTAGCTTTGGAAAATACACCTAAAAGAATAAAACAAGAGAGACAATTTAGCAATAGGTCAGACTAAAAGCGGCATGTCTGTCTGTCTGTCTGTCTGTCTGTCTGTCTGTCTGTCTGTCTGTCTGTCTGTCTGTCTGTCTGTCTGTCTGTCTGTCTGTCTGTCTGTCTGTCTGTCTGTGCGTGCGTGCGTGTGTGTGTGTGTGTGTGTGTGTGTGTGTGTGTGTATACGTGCGAACGAGCATCAGTTCACATATGTGTGCCTACTAAATTCTTCATGAATTCTGAAACACAATTCTCAGAGCACGAAGATATTACCGCCAAGTCAGTTTCCACTGACCTTCGACCTAAGCCCTTTAGCCACATCCGGGTCACTAGTCATCACCAACAGTTTTGTGGAAGCTGGAAGCAGCTCTGTCATGGTCAAGACATTCAGCTCTCTCAGCTGGGCTGAGGTAAGGAACAGTCCCTCCAGGATGATCAACAGAGGCAGCTCATCGGTACTCCGCGAAACCATGTCAATGAGAAGAGCTTCACTAGCGGGAACCTGTCGTTTTGGGTGGGTATAAAAGGAAAGAGAATCATTGAACGCGCTTCTATGTCACCAAAGCTTACAGGAAGACACTAAATAGTAATAAATAACACACTATGCGTGTCGTAAGAGTCGACTAAGGCTGGTTGATGGGATTCTGTTTTTTAGACACAAACTTTAAACATAAAATACAATCAGTAGGTGGCACGTTTACAATAAACTAAGCTTAAGTTAGCTGGGAGCTTATGCTCTATTAAGAAATAATGGGAAGCTTAAGTTAGCTGGGAGCTTATGCTCTATTAAGAAATAATGGGCAGGATAAGAGTTCTTGTTGTTTAACTTGGTTACTTTTGTTAAAGGTTTTTTCCCATATGACTCGATCCCTCTACGTAAAGCAGCAAGCGGCCTGCCGAGAGCATTGCACAAAGCACGAACTCTGTAGTTCCGGGATCTCCGTAAAAATTACACTCGTGAACTGAAGGGCACCGCCGTGAAACGAACCCACGTCCTTTAGAGCACGAAGCAAACGGCTTGACCACTTCGACACGGAGACTCCTTTTGTAAGCAACTGCAAACTCGCATTCAGAAACTTCATATTTAAGTCTATTATTTGTTATTTTCAAGTCCCAGCCAGATTGTTGTCGGGGGCCCTAACATAACCTACTGCTTGTACTAGGTTTCTTGGACTTGTACATGGGAGATTCTCAACCCAGTGGTGGTATTTTGTGTCATCATATGTTAATCGCTCGTTGCCCGGTCCTGGTATGGTAGAACGTCACTCACTCATCTAGTAACTTTTAGAGAATTATGCACATCATTCTAGATTCCTATGAAAAATATATTATATTGTGTTTTTTTTTTTTTCGAAAGGACCCATCATCTGCAGCAAATGTCCTGAGGTATATACTGTTAAAAAAAAAGCATAGTTATCCAATGGCGCGTTTTTATTAGTTTGTAAATAACAATTCTTATTCGGGAATGTGAAAAGCAGACTCAAATGTTGTTTACAGTGTACCGTGGTCATGTGGCCATGAATTAAGTGGGATTTTGTAATCGTTACAATGAAGTTGTCAACGGTGTTTAGGACAATTTTTGTGAGCATAACGCATGAGATAGCAACACAATTTTGTGTGAACATTATTCACTGCCTACACAATTGGAAACTTTTTAAAAGGATAACGCTACACCAACACATTCAGTTCGTTTTCAAGCAGTCACGAATGTCGCTTCTATCGATAAATTTAAGGAGTGTTGCTATTGGCCGTTTGCAGGCAGGGAAAAGTCAAAGTCAGGTTGCCAGGTATCTAAATGTGCATCAGAGTACCATCAGTCGACTTTGGCACCGGTTTCAAGCCACTAGTTCAGTTAAAGACCGACATCGCAGTGGACAACCCAGAGTGACAAAAGCAGCAGTGTGTCAATTTATTCGGCTTCGTCACCTCAGAGACGTTTTTTTACAACAGCTTCCTCAACTGTACAGGCATTACCTCCAGGACGTCATGTGTCTGAGCAAACTGTTCGGAACAGACTGCATGACGTTGGACTTTGGGTATGGCGCTCACTCATGTCCTTACCCGTCGCCACCGCCAAAACCGACTTCTTTGAGCCACCAACAACGTCCCTGGGCAAAAGACAATCAACGGAGGCGTGTCTGGTTCAGCGACGGATCTTTCTGTTTGTTGCAGCGCCGCAACAGATGGCGTAAGGTCTACTGCAGGCGAGATGAAGGTTGAGCCCAGAATTGTGTTCATGAAGCTCTGCTGGACGGTGGTGGAGATGTAATGGTGTGGGAAATTTTTAGTTACAACAGAAGAAATCCATTGGTTAACACTGAAGGAAGCTTGAAGGCGCAATGATACGTCGAAGAAATTCTTCCCAAGCATTTCCTGGGTCTGTTAATGCGCCTAAGCTAAAGTTCACAACCCAGAGATAAGGATTTAGCTTTCAAATATCCTGTTCAATCTCCAGATCAGACTCATTTTGAAAGTTTGAAGCTTTTTTTTTAATCTATAGCTACAATGGTGTCTTTTATATGAACTTCACTGTCTATTGTAATTGAAAGGGGGTCTCCATGGCGAAGTGGTCAAGCCGTTTGCCTCACGCTCTGAAAGTCGCCGGTTCGTTTCACGGCATCGTCGTTCATTTCACGAGTACACCTTTCACGGAGCTCCCTGGGAATCGTCACCGGAGCAACAGAGTTTGTGATCTGTGCTACGCTTTCGGCAGGTGGCTAGCCGTGGAGAAAAACCTGTGCAATTAAACAGATCCTCTCGACTTTAACTGTTTTTAAATTGAAATTCACTCAACGACCCGTTTGGCTTTCACCGGTGTTTATGTCGGCCAGAAGTGTTGCCTTGATGTGTTATATTTCTTGGAGGGCGGTATCTGTTGGCCCATGTGCCAATCCACATGTACACATGGCTGAGTCGCCAATCTTAAGAAGACTGCTCTTCATTATTTTTAGTTTCAAACTTAAATAAATCCACTGATATTGATACATGTATAATAAATAAAAAGTAAGAAGAAAGGGACCATTTTATACATTTTTTTTAATGGCATATCGAGCAAACATTGCAAACCTCATATTTAGACAAATATGGATTTAACTAATGATGTGGTCAACCCCAGACAGCCGCTTTCACTTTCTATGAACATTTTCCTAGAACAAATTGTATGCTCATTCGTCCTGGAAGAGCGGATCAATGTTGGAAATATTCACATCATTGCTTATTAGTCGTCCCCTTGTGGGATGCAATTTTTCGTTATTTGAAGCCCCACCCTGGCTTTTGCCGGCGGCCCTGTAATAAAATAATTAAACTCCACAGGGGAGCGCACACAGCAAGAGTCTACCTGTCATCGGTAGAAGATCCTCCGTCGACAATAGTTTCGGCCCGTTAACATCCTAAACAATATCGGAAGGTGGGCCAACCGGGGTCATTACGCCAGGCCCCAGTATCTCCTGCTGCGCTTAATCAGACACCTGAATATAGCCGGGCCATAAATATGGCTTAACGGCTGAAAGGGGTTTCTGGGACCTCACCACGGGTGATCCTCATCCGCATGATGGCACTTTGTGTCACCGGGTATTTATCGCTTGTGTTATGTCCTGGCGGGGTACAACGAGAGATAGATAGATAGATAGATAGATAGATAGATAGATAGATAGATAGATAGATAGATAGATAGATAGATAGATAGATAGATAGATAGATAGATAGATAGATAGATAGATAGATAGATAGATAGATAGATAGATAGATAGATAGATAGATAGATAGATAGATAGATAGATAGATAGATAGATAGATAGATAGATAGATAGATAGATAGATAGATAGATAGATTAGATTAGATATATAGATTAGATTAGATAGACAGATAGATTAGACAGACAGACAGACAGACAGACAGACAGACAGACAGACAGACAGACAGACAGACAGACAGACAGACAGACAGACAGACAGACAGACAGACAGACAGACAGACAGACAGACAGACAGACAGACAGACAGACAGACAGACAGACAGACAGACAGACAGACAGACAGACAGACAGACAGACAGACAGACAGACAGACAGATAGATAGATAGATAGATAGATAGAGAGAGAGAGAGAGAGAGAGAGAGAGAGAGAGAGAGAGAGAGAGAGAATTCACATTGATGCAAGGGTTGCCGGGACGGCAGGCAAGCAAAATAAGAAGTGTAAACAAAGAGCACCTGTTCTTTATCGTCTTGTCCCCGACACCATGTTCCTTTGCTAGGTCCCAGAACGGTATCCAGCTGTTGTTTGATGGACAGCAGCGTGCACAGCAAGCTCCGAGAATCTGGGCTAATACCCATGAACCTAAATAAAAAGACAATAGCCAAAGCGCTTCCCAGAAATCTAGCTCAACAATACAAATCTTTAACCATCATCATGTGCCCTGTCAACTGGCATAGGCACCATTGTGTCTCTATAGATCCCGATCCCTGGTTGACTGGAACAGCTCTCTTGGTGATACCCCTCCACGCCATCGTTTTAGCTCATCCAGCATCATCTCTCTTGGTCTGCCTCTACCCCTTTTTCCACTGATTCATATCTTGACACGAACTACAACGCTCTAATGTCACATATATTTGAACAAATGGCAACAATCACGTAACTGTATACTTTACTTACTAACTATGTGTTGCTCGTATTACAAGAAAAATGGGATCAGCCTCTTCATAACTTTATGAGGAGGGGTTCAAGGTGCTCAAGCCTTTTAAGTGTGTAATAATAATAATAATAATAATAATAATAATAATAATAATAATAATAATAATACAGGTAATAATAATAATGATGATAATAATAATAATATTGGTAAAAATAATAATAATGATGATGATAATAATTATAATAACAATTACATTATTATTCATATTTCTAATAATAATGGGCTAGGCAACCTAGTTAACATTTCAGGAATGGCTTTCAACAGAGTCTTGGTAACTTATCGTACCAGTAGGGAAGAAAATCGTTAAATCTACAGAGGTCCAGACACGGTTACAGGAACCACGTAGCAATCTTGCTTATTTTCATTTTCTATGTTATAATGGTTCAGCCACCGTAACATTTATTTGCTAAAAAATGTCTCCCATCAACAAGCCTGAGCCGTGAGGTTGTGGAGCCTGTGTCCCCAACTGTCCATTATCAAAAGGCACCCCAGTATCCCCTGTCTCACATGTGGGCCAACGGGTCGTCCACTAGCTCACCGGCAGAAGACTTCGTCGCCGGCGAGACAGTATTTGGGTCTGTCTCTTTGATGTCATCAACACTGCAGAAGTCCTGTCCAGGGCTCCATGGTGGCATGCAAGGCTAAGCCATTTTGTATGTCGTACATAACCTAGCCATAATTATAACCTAACGCTTCTCCTTCAGAAATGCTGGTTTAGCTTTACGATGTTTTTCCCAGCAAAGCACCTGACTACATGTCCCACGATGTGACAAAAGAATGTAGACTCTCTCTCTCTCTCTCTCTCTCTCTCTCTCTCTCTCTCTCTCTCTCTTTCTCTCTCTCTCTATCTTGCTATACCCCACCAGGACATCACACAAGAAATAAACACCCGGTGACACAAAGTGCCACCGTGCAGATGAGGATTACCCTTGGAGAGGTCCCAGAAACCCTTTCATCTGTTTGACCATATTTATGGCCTGGCCATATCCAGGGCCCCCGGCAAAATCCAGGGTGGGGCTTCAAATAAGGAAATACTGCATCCCTCATGGGAACCGCTAGTACTAATTATAAGTTGTTATTTCCTAGTCATGCTGGTAATCAATTCTTCATAACTCTCAATGTCTGTTTTCTTATTCGTTTATAAAATCTCACCTCTGTAGCTTCAACACACTAACACTGTACTGTAACTTCTGTCTGTATGTACCACTCTTTAGGGCGGTGAAGACAGGGGTCGTGAGCCTGAAGATTTAGGGCAGCATGGCTACTGCAGTCAGCACGGACTGTACGGGTTAGGATGTTTAATGTTGCCCCCGACAGAAAAATTCCATCACCTTACCGCATAAGAGCCCGTCGCTACTGGGCCACATAAATCCACTGATTTTTCGTGATTGACTTCGGAGTGGCAGTAAACATACAGAAATAAAATCATTCATAATCAAGAGCCATGCAGCTTCAGTACACAATTCTACCTGTAAATTATGATCGATGAACTCATAGTTGCCAGACATGAATGGACCAGCTGGGCACTCATGGTACTTAGGCCCCAGCCGGGCTCAGCGTACACCACGATAGGCATCTCAGAGACGGTGCTGACGTAGTCTTGAAGGCTGACCAATGTAGGTGACTGCAGAAGTGGGTCCACATTGATCAGTCTGTGATAGTGTCTGTTCTGTGAGACAAGTTCTTCTACCAATGATCGTGGCACGCCTGAGACAATATATATATATATATGTTAAAATATTTTTTATAATGTAATATATGCTATGTAAAGGAAGCCATTGTCACGGGGTTAGAGTGAATCACGAAGCAGTAAAACACAAGCAGAAGAAACTGACAAGGTAAGATAAATATAAAAAGGACATGAAAGGAGTCCTGTGAGGTACTAAGAGATAGCGTTTTATGAAGGAAATTCGTTGAAGAAAAAGGTGTATTAGTAATAGCTGTAGTAGTAGTAGTAGTAGTGGTAGTAGTAGTAGTAGTAGTAGTAGTAGTAGTAGTAGTAGTAGTAGTAGTAGTAGTAGTAGTAGTAGTAGTAGTAGTAGTAGTAGTACAATAGTCATCATCATCATGTAGCAGATCCTTTGCAGAACGTCGCTCTCATCACAGTCTGCCTGAATGAAACTCGGTCTCTCGCCAGTTCTCCCGCCTCATGCACTTTCACACTCAAGGAGTCACTTATATCCTGTGCCCATCTTCGTGTCGGTCGGCCCCTGCCCCTCCTCCCTGGTACCATGCCTTCTGCTATAATTTTTTCCAATCCGTCGTGGAGTAACCAGTAGTAGTACAATAATATTAGACGTTATAGTAGTAGTAGTGGTAATAGTTGTAGTAATAGTAGTAGTGATAGGAGTACTAGTAGTGGTAGTAGTGGTGATGGTGGTAATAAAGTTATAGTAGTAGGGTGGTGGTAGCAGCAGCAGCAGTAGTAGTAGTATGAGTAGTTGTAGTAAGAGTAGTAGTAGTAGAAGTAGTAGTATTAGGATAGTTGTAGCAGTAGCAGCAGTAGAAGTAGTAGAAGTAGTCATCATCATAGTAGTAGTAGTAGTAGTAGTAGTAGTAGTAGTAGTAGTAGTAGTAGTAGTAGTAGTAGTAGTAGTCGTTGTAATAGTAATAGTAGTAGTTGTAGCAGCAACAGAAAAAGCAGCAGTAGTCGGCTAATACTAACAGTAATAATATAGAAATAGAGATACTTTCGATCTATCATAAGGAGTGTATAAAAATTTATTGCAAGGATGGGAACACACTCCTATACTGCTAATCTTATAATACCAGTGGCAGTCTCTTTTGTGCATTGTTCTTTCCTGTCAATGTCTCCCAGTAACAACCGTTCTAGCTGTGTTGTGACGCCAGAAGCCACGTCTTCAAGGCTTGTACGGTTTATTTGTGATTGCTCGTCTCTATCTTCATCTTCAGATGTTGAAACCTGTAACAGAAAATATACGTTGCAGTTCACTTGGAAGAAAACAAAAGGTCTGTTCTCTCCACCTTCCTCTCCTTACCTGCGTCTTTCTCCCCTCTCTCTGCCGAATCTCTTCCTGTTTATGTCACTTATCTCTCATTTTTCCTCCGCTCTCCCCCCCCCCCCCACCCCCCCTTCTCCGGACTCAATTTCTTTTCCCTGACCTTTTGTTCTCCTTCTCTAAGTATCTCCATCACCCTTTTCTCTCTTCTCTCTTTCTCCCTTTCTCCATCTTTTTATCTCACTCTCTGTTTCCCTCTACTATACCAATGCTTTCATATAATTTCCCCTCCCCCACGTTTCTCTATCTTTTTATTTTTATTTTCTGTCACTCCTTCCCTCTTACTCTCAAATAAAATGAAACCAGTAAAATGAGACCAGGGAAATAATACCAATTAAATTAGATTTACTTAATGATACCAGCTATATGAGACCAGTAAAATTAGAGCATTTGCGTGATACCAACTGAATGATAACCAATGAAATAATACCACTTAAACGAGACCAGTGAAGTGATTTCCAATAAAATGACACCAGTGAAATGACAGTACAAACATGTCGCATACCTGAAAAATATTATCGGGTTGACATTCCGTCTCAAAATAGTTTAAAAGTTCGGAAATGTGACTGTCTGTTATTTTGTCTTGGTTGAAGAAATTTAGACTTTCCTCTGTTTCATTTGTTGACTTCTGGTGGGTTCCATGAGTTCTGGATACAAAAACAGTATTCTCAGATAGAAGGTGTGGATTTTGTCTCACCCACAGAAGCTGGTTATAATAATCTGAAGAAAAAAAAATTGAAGTCCCAAGTTATACAATCATGTTTTGTTAAACAAATGATCATATCGTAACTAAACACTTGTTTGGTTCAAGTAAGTTCCACGTATGGGTACCAGGACCGTATTGTCGGTAAAACAAGAATGTTGCCTACTCGAAAAGCATTTTGTAAGAGTCGACTATTTGGGGGCTTCCTTCGAAGTCGGAGCGCATCTGCCCGAGCGGCAAGAAACAACCAACTGCAGACAAATAAGTCTGAAAACGGATGTACACGAAACAATCTGGCTCTGGAATAAAGCCGGTTTGAACAAAACCGCCAGGACTTTCCCCAAGGCTTACCTAGAGGAAAAAAGAAGAAGGCTCAGGTAGGTAATTCTTGGTTATTGTTCGGGTTATCTTTATTGCAACACAGAATCTACCATTAGGTTTTCAAATCCCACCCCTTCCTCACTATTTACATTGATGCTAATGGTGGCAATTCTGTGTTGACAAGACCTCGTATATGTCGGGTGTGCCTTTCGTTCCTGGCAGTGCTGATCTTTGCTCCTAAATATCTCATTTTTAGGAGCTGTTTGACCCTTCCCCAAACACCCCCCTTCACACACACACACACATCATTTCAAATCTTCAACCTTTTCCGAGGGCATTATCAGCAGAATAATCGATAGTCTGGCAATGTACAAAGATGACAAAACCAGCCAAAATATCAGATCTATCAACGCTGACATTCCTCGGTAAAACATGACGGTGTCTCTACAGCCAAATCTCCTCAACGATTCGATCATTGCGTTAAACAGCCTGCCTAGACCCACCGTCTCCTACTCATGGAATCTCTCAGTGCCCAGAGCTCGGAAGAGCCCTATGACTGCAGGCGATGATTGCAGGAAGGATGACAGCTGAGCGCCTTAGAAGAAACAGACTAAATACATATGATGACGACGACAACGTTCCTGAAATCCCATGCTCTAACCGTGGAAGACTTTTCTTAACGCGGGCGGGTCTTGCTAGTCACACTCATCACCGCTGTCGGCTAAATGTCTCTTGCCTCCTCAAAGCACAGTATAACAGTTTCGTCTGGAAAGACAGGAAACGTGCCAGCGGCCACTCAAATGCTCCTGTATGGAAACTAATCACTGTCAATGCAAATGACGATATGTCCCCAAGTTTTCTAATCTCCTCCAAGGGCCTTCTCTGCGTAGCATATCCACATATTTTATTAGCAGAATAAGTCAAGCTATCATCGTCGGCGACCGGGTCTACCATTGGCTGGTCGGTGGACGACTTGGTCGCCGGTAGGGACAGTATTTGGGTCTGTCTCCTTTGATCGCATCAACACTGCAAGAGTCTTTTTCAGAGCTACTTGGTGGTGAGCCATGCTAAGCTATTTTATATGGCGCACATAAGCTAGTCACATTTATAACCTAAAGCTAAAGCTTCCTAATATAATGTTTTGTTAGCTTTTAGTCGACAGATTATCCTCATTGCACATCGAACAATTCAGTCCATACGTGTTTGGATCCCATCCTTAGTAAATCCCGCAAAGTGTAGCGGCTCACGACACCAGTTTTGTGTTGGTTTGTTAGTCTTCTTTGACTTCCTGCACAGTGCCCTTGTCTAGCCACCCCCCCCCCCCACTTTCCCCTCCCCCTTTTAACATTTCTTTCTTGCAGTATGGTCCTGATTGCAGATTCACAGTCATTACCTGGTTCTCGCAAACGTCTTATCCTCATAGAGCATTCCGAGTATCAGCATGATCCATGAGTTATCCGCTCTCCACAGTAGTTTTACCTGCAAGCTGACTCATTTCCCTGCAGGCCTGCGTTCCCTGGTACAAATATGTAACTGATATGTGTCAACCCCGACCGCTTTATAGATTCCAGCCACATGGTCGGATCCAACCCTTCTCTGCCTTCTTGAGCGTACTCACTGAGTCACCGAGAAAGCATGCACGAGAAAAAGTCTTGTCTATAGACATGTTATAGCTTATAACGTAAAAATATGTAGATAAAATACAGTACCAGAGTTAAAAACGTGGGTATCCTTATCCTCACTCCCAAACACAGCCATCATGAAGTCGACAAGCCGGTTCAACCTGGTCTCATCCTGTCGAGACAGCACTGGGTAAGATAGCTCGTAGGCTGGCGGGACCCGGTTCTCGTTGTTGGCATACAGGTCATGGAACAGGGCGGTGGTCACAGGGTCGGGCAAGGAGACAACCACAAGCTTGTAGTCCTCATAGGACAGTACAGGTGGCAGGCGGTAGTAGTTACACGAGTCACACACCGCAACCTGCACATTCAACATTTCATGTGATTATTGATGGTTAGTGGTCAAATCAGGAAGGTTTGGAGGCAACTGAGATGTGTTTCTTGGGGGAAATGCTGTCAATAGTGGTCAAATTAGGAAGGTTTCGATGCAAGTCAGATGTGTATCTTAAGAAAAATGTTGCCAATAGTGGTCAAATTAGGAAGGTTTGGATGCAAGTCAGATGTGTTTCTTGATAAAAATGTTGTCAATACATTAGACTGCAATAGTAACTAACAATGATTGCCTGGAAATGGCTAACGAAAGTAGAACAGAATATTAAGTACAACAATGAGAAGGAGGCAAATAAAGTTCTTTGATCATGTGATGAGAAAAGGAGCGCTGGAAAATATCGTGACGACTGGAAAGACTACTGTCGGCAGAGGCAGACCAAGGGAAATTATGGTTGAGGGCTTAAGCTAGTGGCATACAGGCATATCATCATATCAAGTGGAATTGATCCAGAACAGCAAGGGCCGAGATCTGTAGAGATGCATGGACCCCTACGCCAGCTGGCAAGGCACTTGATGAAGTTGACGAGTGGTGGCGTCTGTGGCTTAGGCGTTGCTAATGCGGCTTGTCATTCGGAGGTGTCCTGTTCGATCCAATCCAGCTTGGGGCGATTTGGCTGCAGACCGCCGTTAGTTGTCTTCGACGATGGTATCGAGAGTCGATCGTGTAGAAAGCAATGGCAAACTACTGAATTTAAAACTGCCTAGAAAAATCACGAACAGCCAATAAATTCTGGTGTTGGTTCTCCAAAGTCATGTAAAAGATACGCAGCTAAGTAACTGATTAGTGATTTAAGAATTGACATTAAAGTAAACCAGACACACCCACGTGCCCAAACTAAGCTAAGAGAGGCTATGTCCTGCAAATATGTGAATTTTCGTCTCTGGCATATTTATTAATTTTCTTTTCTGAATAACTAATTCGTAAAATGCGTCTATAGCATTTACACCCGAAAACCTAAATCATCGTTTCTGTTTCAACTGTAAGAGTGCAATTCTCACATCCACATAAGAAAATAGACAATACCAGTGATCTGTATATATTGACCTTAACTGCAATGCTTATTTCGCTCTTTCAAATCGTATTGAGCTGTTGTCGTATCCATAGCACATATACAAGTTGTTCTCTTATGCTGATGCGTCGCTCCTTGTCAGATTCACTTCTAATTCCTCGCTCGCACATTCTTACGTATGCTGTTTAATCTAATCCCGTGTCTTCCACCAGCATTCCTTCATAAATGGTCGTCAGAATGTCTCCTGCCATGTGATGCAATGATTTAACTCTTTCGATACAGCACAACACACTTTGCGTTTATCGATGATAGTAGTCGTGTGAGGACCAGGAGTGTTTCAGACCATGTGTAGGTCCCCACTGCAGGTGACATCTGGCTGGTGTAGCCCTTTACGCGTGTGCTAATGAACACTTTTTTGGAGGTTGAACACGGTTTCTGGGATCCGCCTAGTTGATCCGCCGTCCAGACTGAGGTTTTTAAATCTCAGGATGGTATGATAAGCCTTAAGGTAGCAGCGCGGAGAGGACAAACTAATCGATCGATCGATTAGCTTCAGATCAACCTATAACAGAACATTCCACCGCATGCCATCACACAGATCAGTCTATAATAGAACATTCCACTGCATGCCACCACACAGATCAGTCTATAACAGAACATTCCACCGCATGCCATCACACAGATCAGTCTATAACAGAACATTCCACGGCATGCCATCACACAGGGAGATGGACCTTCATGGAAAAGCGGCCAAGCTGTTTGACTCGCGGCCTGGAGGTCGTGCGTCGTTTTACGGACGTGTCGTTCAGTTCACGGAAACGGACTGAATGGTGTGTAATAATCAGGTACGATAAAATGATCCTTATTGGCTTTAACTTTAACATGAATCTGCAGAACAAGCTAAAGGGTCAACCCATCTTCATATAAGTGAATATTAGACAATTGTCTCAGTTTTTTGGGGGGAATGGTCTTGAAAGAAATTTCAAGGTGGAAGGGCACTGACCACCTAACTTTATATGTGGTGTCCTAGAATATGAAAAGACGTAAAATTTCACAACCTTACGGCAGTAACTCACTCATGGGCTACCTTATCTGAGCAAACTGACGCATGACAAACGTAATGCTGTCATGGCCCTTTGGTATTAGGTGATATGATAAATCGGATGTGGTAAAGGCTCTATGGCAGTGTTTCTCAACATTTCTATTGCCGCGACCCTTTAAAAACAGTTCCTCCTGTTGTCGTGACCACCAGCCATAAATTGTTTTCGTCGCTACTTCATACCTTTAGTGAATATGTGTTTTCCAATGGTCTTAAGCGATCCATGTGAAAGAGTCGTTCGACCCCAAAATGGGCCACGACCCACAGGTTGAGAACCACTGCTCTATAAGATCAAATGAATAGTGGAAAAGAACATTCCACCGCCACACTGAATGACTAATTCAAAAAGGGGGAAAAAGGGGGTGGGGTGGGTAGGGAATTGTAGATGGTAACATTGAAAGAAAAACAGAAATGACTTTTAATCATTATGCAACTGGTAGTATTTGCATGTTTCTCTTCGTTGACTGCTGAAGAAGGGAACAGAGCACATGTGTGAATGTCCCGAGTGCAGTGATGACAATGCTTGATTGAATCGTTCATTCCTTGTTAATGAGTTAACAGTGCAGAGGTACAATTAGATTACCATGGTCTGAAGAGAATGGAGCAACAAGGAGTGAGCTGGGAATTCGGCCGACACTCCACATTTAGAGGAAAGGCAAGAGGGACATACATTCGGACTGCTAATTGTACTATCAGAGTTGGAACTCTTCGTTGGCTGCCGAGGATGAGGAATGCCCTGAATGCAGTGATGTTGTTTCTTGAAACTCAACTCAGCTCAACAATAGCTCAACTTAACATACCTTACAAAACCCCTGGAAGTCCCCGTGGCGAAGCGGCTTTACGTTCGCCGCGGATCGGACGGTCGTGGGTTCGTTCCCTGGCGGAGCCTGACTTATTTTTCAAAAATGACCGTGGCTCCCAGGTCGACCCAGTGGGTACCGAGTGCAGTCTCGGGAAGTAGAGGCGGCCGGCGTGATGCAGACCACATCATCAATCTTGTGCCGATTGGTCTATAAAAATACAGGTCTAGTCCTGTATGCCCTATATGCCTAAAGGCGTGGAAAAGGGTCCTTTACTTTTTACTTGCAAAACACTCTTCACGCCCTTAGGCATATAGGGCATATATAATGCTAGACCGATATTTATACCGACCAAACGGCACTTGATGAGCAACGTGATAAACCTCACGCCCATCGCCGTTACTTCCAGGGTCAACCTGGTTGGGTCGATATGGGAGCCAGTGATGGGACTTTTTATTCTCTTCTTCTTCTTCACTTCCTCTTTTACCGCTTCGGGTGTCGAGTGAGACATAAGTTTCTGCTTCTTACCCATCTGGCAGCCTCAGTCATAGACACATCGTGCTGCTGTAGACTTTCTCTTATGTTATCTTGCCATCTTGTTCTAGGTCTACCTCTTGCTTTTCGTCTATCTTCTCTTTTCTTCTTCTTCTTCTTCTTCTTCTTCGCGTTCACCAGCTGTAAACTCTGGAGGAAGGTTCTGGTTGTTCGCCCACTTTTGAACTGCAGTCCTGCTCCAGAACCTGAGTGTTGCGTGTGCATCAGTTTTACAGATCTGATTCATTTGAATGCAGACTGTTGGTTCCTTGCCTCTCAGGCAGATGCACTCCGACTTCAAAGGAAGCTCCCCAATTAGTCGACTCTTACGACATGCTTTTGGGGAGGCAGTGGGTCTATTCTTGTTTTCCCCACAATGGGACCCCGGAACCAACACGGGGGTCTCTTCTCTTTTATCTTTTGCCTTACATAGTATGACGCCACAATGCATTCTCTTTAAGTCGAGGAACCATCTGATTTGCTGTATTTACAAAATTTAGAACTGTTTCTATGTCTTTCTCCTATGACCTCATTCCTAACTTTATCTCTTTTTGTCACTCCCTGAAGGGACTACCGTAACTGTATGTGAAAACTCAAAATTAGTAAATTAAAAAAAAAAACCCTGATTGTTTAAAAGATCAAGCAAAATGAAAGAAGTCCAATGAAGAAATAACCTTCAGCAAACATTCACTGACCAGCAGGACATCCACAGGCGTTTCTGCAGCATCTTCCTCGCAGACAGCGGATGTGGCCAGGCTGTCTGTGCTAGTCTGTTGAGTCAGCAGGTGGGTGTAGGCTCTCTCCAGGTTGCGGCTCAACCAAAGGTCATCTTGAATGTCAAGTACGTAACCTCTGTCAGCACAAAGTAGACGCAGCGGCATAAACACTTTAGACCAAAGTGTGAGACGTTCAGTCACGAACCCTGTCCGTTAGAGAACATCACAATGTAAGTGACACGCTAATGACAATTATTAGCTTATACCGACTGTTTTTGAAATGCCACTAGATAGTTTTCTTAACTGTCAGGGATCGAAAGCCTTGAGGAAGGGAACTGGCCATCTCACCTCACTTGTCGAGGCCTAGAATGTATGAAACCCTACACTTCATATCCTAGCAACAGTATTTGCTAATGGACTACCTGTAGTGAGGGGAAAAAAGTAAAAAAGGGGACCAATTTTCCACGCCTTTATGTGTACATATATTTTACAGACCAATCGACACTTGGTTGGTAATGTGGTAAACATCACGCCGGTCGCCTTTACTTCCTAACACTTTTCCTGTTACAAGTTTAAGGCTGGGTCGACCTTGGGACGAAGGTCGTTTCTGAAAAACGTCCAGCTCCGTTGGAATTTGAGCCATGACCTTCGGATCCACAGGCGAGTGTCTAGGCGCTACGCCACAGCGACTGGCCCTAGTAGTAGTAGTAGTCTTTTCTTTGTGATATATGTTTTCATGCTTGAGTGCATTTTGCAAATAGGGTTGTCTCCACTTTGAGGTGGCCAATCGTATTCCATCTCTCTCTCTAGCTGCCTCTTACGACATGTCTGGCTTAATCTTGTTATTGTTTGCTAATATCCGTAGCAAGCAGATTCAAATGTCAGTAAGATTACTTACACAATTCTTGACTTACAGTGCCACGCCTTATTACAAATTATGGCTTATTAAAGTATTAACTAAGAGCTTGGAAACCACAAGTATCCAACATCATCCTTATTGTCAACAACAACAGTAGCAACAACAACAACCAACATTGTGTTCTACACTAAATACTACCCCGTAATCGGTCTGTGGATTTTTCTAACTGACCTAGGACTCGTTGTCCACACAACCCGTAGTAAATGTCGATGTGAAGTAGAGGAAATTTTATACGAAGCAAAAGCGGCCAGCATGATGTTGACCACATCACATGTCGAATATCGATTTGTCTAAAACTATAAATTTAATAACACTTGTCCGTTGGGCCAACGGAGAGAAACGGGTCGTTTACTTGACCTATTGATAGCAGTTGAAGCAGACGAAGTTCGTGAAGGTTTTTTTTTTTGACATCGTTTAGTGGAACAAAGCTTGTATATGACAGCACAACATCTAATTTGAGAATAGAGACAAGAGGCAGTCACTGTGCTAGCTCGAGAATCAGCTGAACACCCATGTTGCAATTGCAACCGCCTCACAGAGCATGCTGAGAAAGGTGAAGACCGGTATGCTCCGTGAAGAGTGGCAAGCATCACTTCAGAGGTCTTGTGTAGTTAGCGTCCTTTAGATATTTTCCCCAAGATATGCCGCAGTATTAGGAAAGGAACATGCAGATAGATTGGATGGCTCTGCACAAACTGGTGGCGAATTGATGCATGAAAAGCTAGATTTTGTAATGGCCCTTCAGGAGAGAATAAACAGTGTGGAAGCACAGATGGATCATCTCGGTCTAAGGAGACGTGCTGCGGGGAATAACCAGAGGATCAGGCCGACGATCAACGCTCAAGGGAAAGTCAGACTGTTACCATCAGAATTGGAACTCGGCGCTGGCTGATGGAGATGAGGAGTGAGCACGTATAGGAATATCCTAACTGCTTCAATATGGGTTCTTATGTGAACTGAAACACCTCAGCTTTTAGTTTATCGGTCTATGAACGCTCTGGAAGAATGCCAATGGCAGGCTAAGGACAGACAAGCAGACAATTTAGGGAACAATCAACAATGACTTACCTTCCCCTGGAACTATAACTTTCAGATGTATAACGTGGGGTCTGTTGATGAGGCTGGAGGGATCTTCACTGTGACCCAACAATAGCTCCTGCAAGTCATGTGGCAAAGAGACAAGCCTTGGGAGAAGTGCCCCTTCTTCATTTATCTGAAATAAACAGAAGAGCGTTAGATGTATTTTCCCTGGGTTTTTTTTCTAGTCTAGTAGCTTGTGTTAATGTCATATCACGTTTCTGTGGTGTCCCTTTTACTTCATTCACTAACAGGCGAACTTTTAACCATGGTGCTAATGGTACCATCAGTATAGAATCTCTTTACTGGCTACTGAGAAAGGGACAGAGCTCGTGTGGGATTGTCGCTTCTTGATTCATTCAACCCTTCCTTCAATAGTTATTGGAATAAAAGGAATGCGAATATGTGTAGGTCACAACACTATATATATGCTTACAACAGAAAGAATTATAATGTCCCCCCCCCCTCCGCCCCTCCCCCTCCCCCAGTATAGAGCTGGCTCCGCAAGTTGCCCAACTGTGTGTCCGTAGCATCCCTTTACAAACTGTCAATTCGGTGGTAATTTTTTTCTGTGAGACTAGTTCGGAATATCCTAATCATTATGTGCGCACAGTAGTTTCTTCTGGACAGCAAAATTGATGCCATGAACTGTACTTTTTTCTTTTTAAACCGTTGATCACTTTAACTGGTGTTCATCAACTTTGATATTGGTGGTTCATCTTTTTCTGGAGAATGTCATTACTTCTGTTTTGTCTAAGTCGATCTTCATATCATAGTTGTCACAATTTGAGTGGAGTCTACTAATATGTTCAGCAGTATAACTACCTTGGTTGTATGGATAGGGCGAGACAAGAAGACCGACCTGCTACGTGATTCTGTAGCTCGTGTGAGATGACCAAACATGACCGACCTGCTACGTGATTCTGTAGCTCGTGTGAGATGACCAAACATGACCGACCTGCTACGTGATTCTGCAGCTCGTGTGAGATGTCCAAACATGACCAACCTGCTACGTGATACTGTAGCTCGTGTGAGATGTCCAAACATAACCAACCTGCTACATGATTCTGTAGCTCGTGTGAGATGTCCAAACATAACCAACCTGCTACATGATTCTGTAGCTCGTGTGAGATGGCCAAACATGACCGACCTGCTACGTGATTCTGTAGCTCGTGTGAGATGACCAAACATGACCGACCTGCTACGTGATTCTGTAGCTCGTGTGAGATGGCCAAACATAACCGACCTGCTACATGATTCTGTAGCTCGTGTGAGATGGCCAAACATGACCAACCTGCTACGTGATTTTGTAGCTCGTGTGAGATGGCCAAACATGACCAACCTGCTACGTGATTCTGTAGCTCGTGTGAGATGGCCAAACATGACCGCCTGTGCTTACCGACAGTACACATTATTGTTATTAATTCAATACTTATTATACTGTCATATCAACGTACCTTGGGTGCAACAGCCGATGAGCTATAAGTGGCATCTTGAACAGTAGTGTGTCCAGCATCATCAGAAGCCACTGGTTCTGAGTGTCCACTAACTGTACTGGGAGGCATTCTACTTTCGTCAACTGCTGGTTGGCTTGGGTCAGACAATACTACCAAGCAGAATAATCAACATGTACATGTATTTAATTAGTTATCTTATGCATGACTATATAATGCAGATAGTTGTATACTGTTGTTGAAATACTTTCTTCAGTTTACAGTTATGTATGTACACTTAATGATGTTTATCGCTGCTCTGTTATACAACACGTGTAACTGTAGGTCTTTGATGTATTCTATAATGATACTACTTAGTCCTATTAATGTTGATTGTGCCATTCATATTAGGCATATAGTTGAAACGTCAACTAACTTCTTAACTTTCATCATAGGCTAACCTTCCCCATCCTATCTTTCCCGTTCCTCTTCCTCTACTACAACCACCTCCTCCTTATTTCCTTTTCTTTTTCTTCTTCTCCTTCTCCTTCTTTTTCTTCTTCTTCTTTTTCTCCTCCTCCTCCTCTCCTCTTCGTCCTCCTCCTCCTCCTCCTCCTCCTCCTCCTTCTTCTTCTTCTTCTTCTTCTTCTTCTTCTTCTTCTTCTTCTTCTTCTTCTTCTTCTTCTTCTTTTTCTTCTCCTCCTCACCCTACTGTATTTATCCTCCTCTCCTACTTTTTATTTGTTTTTGCTTCCACTTCTTCAGTTTTTGCTTTTTGTCGCAATTTTCCATTTTCTGAACATATAAAATAATGTAGCACAGGAAAACTTGGCATGTTGTACGATTAAATACGTCAGCAAAGTTATCATACAAAACATTTAAAATAAAAATTGAAAATACTCAAAACAATCAATAAATACAATGATTATGAGAATTTCATTTGAAAAGTTGTAACATGTGATATGTATTTTTCAAACACAAAGTGAGATGTTTACAGTATGCTCAGCCTAAATGTAACAGTTGTAAATGTACAGCACGCGTCGCTACCGGTGTTGGATAGAAAAACGGGTCCTTGACTTTGTATTCTCAGTTTAGAATGATAATGTACCTGAAACTCTACCTTTAGACAGTGGGTTGTGCTGAAGCTGTACCGATGCTCTGGATTTCTTTGTTTTCACTGCACCGTCGGCGGTAGAAGCGCCACTTTGTTTCCTGTCTCGGTTGCGGCCTTGTGATCGTTTGGTGGTTTCTTCCTTCACCTGACTGTATGACACAACAACATTGTGCAATAGGATTCAATAATCGACACATATCGGCTAGACATAATCACATAACCTGTAGTTGACGTACAGCAACTTTTACTATGTGTGTGTACCTATATTTATATATAATATTCTGATCATATATATGAGCGAATATATATATATTCGCACATGTATATGATCAGAATATTCGAAACACTAACGAAAGACGCGCATCCACAAACAGACAGACAGGCGCGCACACAAACACATACAAATTCTTTTGTCGGTTATTCTGAGCGGCGCATCTTTAAATCCTAGGAGTTTCGCTGGTACTATCTGTAGGCTCAATCAAATGGGAACCCCTATCAATTAAATGGGATACTCCCCTTATTACTACTACCACTGCTTCTCCTACTGCTGTTGCAACTACCACGACTACTACAGCTACGAAACTTGTAACATGTTATCACATTTTGAAAGACAAAACTATTTACTTGTGAATAACTTCTGCCCGAAGCAGCCTGTAAGCACATTGTTTCATTATCAACGTGTGGTCAGTATTGCTTCCTCTTTCAATAACTATCCATAGGGGGCTGCGTGGTCCCGAGGGATGGTGTCCGCCTCGAGTGCTGGAGTTTACAGGTTCAGTCTCCGGTAAGGGCTTGGAGAGGACATTCTGAAGTGTCGGGCAAACAAAAATGCCCTCAGAAAACGGTTCAAAGCCGCTACAGGCAGCGAACGGGAGGGGCTGTATGAAGTCTGGTTGCATTTAAAGAACAAACACAGTGCCCTATGTCGCGCTGAGCGTTTCTGTGCCAACAGACGGAGAACCAAAAGGGAGCGAGAGAGATTCTTTAGGGACCCGTATTAGTTTGCCCGAGGTCTATTCGAGCATCCGAAGTCTGGGACTCTGGTTGTCAGTAAGGAAGAGCTTGAGTTACATCTACGCAAGATGTACTCTGACAAAAAGAGGAGAGAGCCTCTCGATGACAATCCAGAGATCCTTAGCGGCCTCAAGCAGTCTGAGTCGCCGAAGGTACCATTTAAAATGATACCTCCCCTTTGGTCTGAGGTTGAGGAAGTTGTGAAAAAGGCCAGTGGCAAATCTGCCCCAGGTCCGAATGGTGTTCCGTACGTTCTTTACAAACGTTGCCCGAAAATCCTAAAAATGCTTCACGTCTTGTTGAGACAAGCGTGGATCCGTAAACATATATGTCCAGAATGGCAAAAGGCGAATGGGGTCTACATTCCCAAAGAGCAGGACTCGAAGAGTCTTTCCCAATTCAGGCCCATCTCGCTGTTGAATGTCGAGGGTAAAATATTCTTCTCGGTCATGGCTCGCCGGCTCACACAGTATCTGATGGCTAACAAGTACATAGATACGAGTGTTCAGAAGGGTGGTATTCCGGGCGTTCCTGGGTGGCTTGAACACCGACCATGATTTGGGAGGCTATCCAGAGAGCCAAGCATGAGAGAACCGAATTGCACATAATATGGTTGGACTTAGCCAACGCCTACGGGGCAGTCACCCATAGGCTACTGTGGCGAGCCCTTCGCATGTTCCACGTACCGGCACAGGTCAATGATATGATCGAGCAATATTTCTCTAAGTTCGCTTTGCGCTTCTCTACCTCGACGTTTACCACGAGATGGACTGAGCTGCAGATTGGGATAGCTATGGGCTGTACGATCTCACCAATACTGTTTGTCATGGCCATGCAGATCATGTTGGACGAGGCGGCCGGCTACGGACTAGGCCTTCAAATAGGGGAACACTGGATGCCTCCTTTACGTGCCTTTATGGATGACACGACTATTATAACGGGCAGCGAGGAGTCTGCCCGCACGATCCTGGGAAGATTGAACGCGATGGTCCAATGGAGCGGTATGCAGTTCAAACCGCAGAAGTCGAGGAGTCTGTCAATCCGTAAGGGTCGAGTGGCGGCAACTAGTTTTACGGTGGCAAGGAACAAGATCCCCACGGTTCTGGAGAAACCGGTGAAGAGCCTCGGTCGCGTTTACGATTCAAAGTTATCTGATAGAGCGGAGGTCCGGCGAATAAACTAGTCACTAGCTACAGGCCTGCTCGCGATCGAGCGGTGCAGGCTGATCGGGAAATTCAAGGTATGGTGTCTCCAATTCATGTTGATTCCGAAGCTCCTATGGCCACTGTTAGTCTACGAGGTGACGATGACTGCAGTGGAAACCATGGAGAGGAAAATCAACACAGCCTTGAGAAAGTGGATCGGTGCACCGCCTTGTCTAACCGAAGTGGTAATGTATTGTAAGCAGGCGAAGCTAGTACTTCCGTTCAAATCAATAACCGAAGAGTTCAAATTTGTCAAAGTAAGACTCGCCATGCTCTTGCGCGAGTCTTCAGACCCAAATGTAGAAGCCCGCTCTCAAGACTGGGCAGAAGTGGAGAGTCCTCGATGCGATTTAATCTGCGGGAGATAATGGGTTACACTCTAACCGACCGTCGAGGCCTAGGGCACGGGAAGGTCAACTGGTGGTCAAAGGCCTCAGCCAAAGAACGCCGAGAAATGGTAATACAACAAGTGAGTGACAACGAATACGAGGTTCGTTTCCAGAAAGCAGCCCAGCAGTCGCAGCAGGGCCATTGGGTCAGCCTGGAGAGCGCATTGCCAAGAATACTCACATGGGGTGAGATCTGGCGAATGACCCCGTTGCGACTGTGCTTTATCGTTCGTTCGGCGTACGATGTATTACCGTCCGGTGTTAACATGGTTAAATGGTCTGCGACTAACGATCCGACTTGCCCGTTGTGCAAAGCGAAGCAGACTCTTGAGCACATCCTGTCCGCGTGCAGGAAAGCCGTAGGCCAAGGCCGATATACCTGGCGACACAACAAGGTGCTAAAAGAGTTAGCAGCCGTTGTTGACCAGGCTAGAATGAGGGCTAACGCTAGAGCCAGTTCTACTATCGTCCCCATACGTTTCCTCAAGACTGGGCAAATTCAAAAAGGTAAAATCAACAAAAACGCATTCGCTCCATATATGCTAGACTCTGCGAGGGACTGGTTACTGGCGGTTGATCTGCCAGGCCATGAAAGGTACCCCGAGTTAATCCGGAAGACCGGTCTGCGACCTGACATAGTTCTCCACTCTGCGGAGAAACGGCAGCTCATCCTGATTGAACTGACCGTCCCGTATGAGTCGCGTATGGACAAAAATCACACGTACAAGCTCGAGAAATACGGTGATTTAGCAGCCGGTCTGAGGAGAGACGAGGCGTACGCAGTACGTGTCTTTGCCGTCGAAGTGGGAGCGAGAGGTCTCGTCTCCACTTCACTGTACAATTTGATTAAAGAACTAGGATTGCGCGGTAATGAACGGAAACGAACACTTAAAAAACTGAGCGAGGCAGCCGAGAGGGCCTCGAGCTGGCTTTGGACGCAACGAAACAACGTAGGGGATGGGCCTCGGTGAGCTCGTCCGGGTTTCTAGTGGAAAAGGGTTTCTCACCCTTTGAAAGTCCATCGAATTGTCTGCCAGTGATCCTCTGCCACCTGCTAACAAAGTCCAACATGTGTCTGTAAACCAATCGTAAGCTTGTCGCTCGGTCGTCCAGGTATGCTGACTGTTCTAATTAGGCTACCGCGGCGGCTTCTTATCTCACAGTACCTTCTGCGAAACCACCAAGTCGTCTTGTCCTTATCCGAAAGAAAACACCCTCCGGTAATTTCGTGCAGCAGGGTACCAGCCCTGAGCTTCATGAACTCGTAAGCTTGTCGCTCGGTCGTCCAGGTATGCTGACTGTTCTAATTAGGCTACCGCGGCGGCTTCTTATCTCACAGTACCTTCTGCGAAACCACCAAGTCGTCTTGTCCCTATCCGAAAGAAAACACCATCCGGTAATTTCGTGCAGCAGGGTACCAGCCCTGAGCTTCATGAACTCAGGTGGGCCCACCTCTGAAAACGTCTAGGAGATCGTGGGCCGAAACGTTTGTCGACGAGGATAACTTCTACTGATGACTGGTAGATCCCTGCTGTACTTGCTCCCTGTGAGTTTATTTCTATTGGATTGTTTTCACGTGGACTTGGAGTTCTAGTAATTCCCACTGGTCTCTGGGTAGTGAGATTAGACGCCAATGTGTAAAAAAGAGTATCCTAACGGCGCTGCCCAGGCACAATTTGGAGTTAAAAGTCTACCCAAAGTATTTCAGGATCCTCGCCGTGCTACAGAGCCTGAGCACTGTGCTGAGCTTCTTCGGACTCAGACATGAGTTAAAACAAGAAAAGAGCACTTACGGGTTACACCTGTGTGCCATGATGTTGATCCGTTGTTTAAAACCTCAAACCTCAAATTACCTATCCATGAAAAAAAAAAAAGGGGGGGGGGGGGGGGGGGGGGGGACTCTTTCAGCACAAGTCTGTAATTACTTTGAACTTGTCTGCTGGCTCGCAGGTGGACCTATTCTTAATGGATATCAGGTATTCGCTGTGAGGTAAAGACGGTGGGTGTGATGTTGGTCTGATCTCCAGTCGAGAGCCGATTCGTAAATAATATATATATATGTATATATATATATATATATATATATATATATATATATATATATATATATATATATATATATATATATATATATATATCACTTATATACCCGATGCGCTCCTGGCAAGGGTCCCTTACTGACTTTACGTATGGAATGTCGAATTTTGAATTCTGAATCGACATCATAGCACTTTGGACACTCTCATACGCGCTCCGTCCCCATCTTCGGCAGCAGACAGAGTTCCAGTTCCGATGGTACCAGTAACTGTCTGATAGTACATCCGTCTCGCCCTTCCCTTGAGTATTGACTGTCGGCCATATCCCCTGCCAACCCCGCACAGCGTCATTCTCCTGGGACCGCAATGATCTATTTCTTACTAATGATTGGATGCACAAGAAGCTAAACTAATAGTCTAAAAAGCATGTGGCGTAAAGTGTATCTCAATGGAATCACAAGGAGCGTCTATTTTAAATGTCAGATTTTGACGTCCGGAGAAAAGATGATGGTCTCTAAGTGAAAATCCCATTGATGTATAACTGACAACAAATATTCACACACACTTGATTAATAATCTGGATTATTAAACTTGTGGCGTGTTTGATGGTACAGCGTTAATTATATTAGTCCGTTTTACCTTTTTTCATAAGTCGCTGTCTGTGGTGACTCTGTAGAACATCCTGCGCCCATCTTTTCTTCCTTCGTGCCTTCTATGTGGCCTACAATGTTCTAACCATCAGGTCTTATTGTGCCGGCTTGGTCGCTGGAGATAAAAGGGGTTTCATTTCAACAAATCTAGACCCAACCTACACAAAAAATAGCTTTGTGTATATGGCGTTGGCCCTTCATCTTTTTTATGAGTCGGCACTTGATTTGGGGGAGGAAAAGGGGGGGGGGGGGGGTTTGGGCATTATCACACCAACTTCCTTTAATTGCTAAGATTTGTTTGTGTGACGCATGTTGTAGGCTGAATGAAAATGGAAACCCTGATCAGTTATATGGACCTCTACCCCTTTTAGCCCTACTGCTACAACCACCACGATACCCACCACGACTACCACCACCACAACTGGCACTGCTACCAACAACACTACTACCACTACTACTACCACCGCCACCACTACTACCACCATCACCGCTATCACTACCACAATCACCAACACCCCCTCCCCTAAACACCCTACCAAAGTCTCAACTACTACTCCTACTAATCTTGCTGCTGCTGTTGCTAGTACTATGCTGCTGATGCTTCTACTAGTGACACCTGTGACAGTTAAAAAAAAACAATTATTATTATTATAATTCTTTGAATGACCAATTATCCTCCATGTTTTCCCCTTATATTGATATAAGCCCTAGTAGTTTAACATTTTATTTATTTTTTTTTTTCTGTATATTTTCGTGGACAGAGTTGAATTCTTTAACTATTCATAAATTAACCATAATCTGTTATCAATTTAAAAAGACAGAAAAACAGATCCTATCTCGCTGAAAGCATTACAGTGCTCAAGAATAATGATAGACTCTGGACAAAGTAAAAGCAAAAGCTTATATTCCAAACCCCCACAGCGTTTAGATGAATTCAATACTTCGATAATCGTGTCTAGTCATTGACCGATTAGTTCACCGCATTACAGCTCGAAAATAATCGATCCCGTGAGGCAGTGTGCATCGATTATATATTATTTACACTTTCGAACAGCTTCGATCGTTTGCGTTTATGAGAACGGTTCTCATTAAGCTTCGATCTTACCTTGTTTGTCCAGGGCATTTTCTTTTTCATAGCTGGTTTAATTGTTTTAGTGAATATTGCACAGTCAACATTGGCTTGAACTAGGCTTTTAAAGACACGGGGGGTTTCTATTTTAGATCTCAGATTGTGGTGTTCGGGTCTCTAAGCAAAAACACATTGATATATAATTTGCTACAAATATTCGCATAGACTTTTTAATAACCTAGAATCATTGATTAAATACATACATGATTTAGAAATTATGACATAATGCGTTTGTGTAAATTAAAGGTAAAAATTTACCTGCTTTCCCCTTAGTAATATTGATGGTTCATTGCTATATTTCTGCGGTTTTACCGTTATATCTTCAAAGACTAGCCTGTTAACAAACAAAAGCCATTAGCAAGGATTGCAAGAAGAGGAGCTGATGAAGTTGCATATGTTTCACTCAAACGTCGCCCTACAAAAGCATTTACCGATAAGCAGTAAAGAGTTATTTTCCATTCATTTGGGCATATTGCGTAATATCCTTTTATTTTAATGCTAGTTAGCACTGGGGATAATGTGGGTCCTAATACTACCAGTGACCACTGCTTTCCTGAGCCAGCAGTTTCTGTAGGTGCTTTGTTCTGAATGTATTGGTGTTACCTTTTCGTTCGGAGTAAACAAGCGCGGGTTATGTTGCATAGCCAACATGTGGTCTCTACAACACTGCCTTGGTTTTGTGATATGGGAGGGGGGGGGGGTGTGGGACCATCCAAGCCTTAAATGGTCTCGGAAACAAACCGAGAGCAGCATTTACAGGTTCAAATCCTTGTCATTTGGCTCAGTTAGAGAATGGAAAATGTCCCTAAAGACATTTCCCATGGTGAATTACAGATTGGCAGAAGATGTGACTTGGAATGCTAGCCACATTAAAGAGTCAGCTAATGAAACTTGAATGCCTACAGAATGAAGCCATGCTGGTAATTATGGGATGTACAAGAGATACCCCGATAGTATGTATGCGATAAATGCTTGCACTGCCTACTATTGCCGATAGGCTCAATATTCTGCAAGCAAAGTCATATCTCAGAGTAGCTGCAGACAAAAAGCAACTCCTGCATGAAGCCCTGGGTCACAGACTTAAAAGAGAAAGGTCTTGGATGACGCAAGTTGAAGACACAATTCGACATGTTTGCAGGCTTGATAAATTTGTGCGAGGTGAGGAGTGGGTAAAAGTGTCCGAGCAAGTTTCAGACTTGTGTAGGGTTCTAATCCCTTTGGGTTGTGAGTGCAGGGACTGGCCAGCTAGAGCTGCAGAATCAGAAGTTCAACAAATGGTTTTTGACAATTCCCGCCCAAGTGATGTGATTATCTATACATATGGCTCTGTGCTGAGGGGCAGACGAAGTGCATGGGAGTTCATAGCAAAACCGAATGAACCTCGCTTAGTGCAACAAAGCCTGGCGTATGATATCAGAACCTCTAGTTTGAGATGGAGGTGGAGGCAGTCACTGCTGCATTCTACTGGCTTGAGAATCAGCTGTACACACATGCCATGATTGTAACTGACTCACACAGCGTGTTGAGAAAGGTGGAGACAGGTATGCTACGTGCAGAGTTACAAGCATCAGTTCAGAGGTCGTGGGTGGTTAGCATCCTTTGGATATTTTGTCAATGGTATGTCGGTGTGTTAGGAAGCGAGCAGAAAGAAAGGCTTTCCAGTTCTGCACCGCTTAGTGGTGAACTGATTGTATGACAAGCTAGATGTTGTAAGGGCCATCTAAGAGGGAGTGAACAGTGCGATAGCGCAAGTAGATCATTACGGTCTGAGGAGAATGGCGTTGCGAGGAGTTGCCAGATGATCTGGCCGATGTTCAACACCCAAGAGAACGGCGAAACGCATATTCAATCAGACAGTTACTGGTGAATTTGAACTCTTCATTTGCTGCTGAAGATGGGGACGGAGCGCTTATGGGGGTGCCAGAGTGCTGTGATGTCGATTCTTAATTCAACATTCAACATTTGTCGAGGGCAGCCTTCGTCTACTACCATATAGAGATGTGTGCAAGCGAGGCATCAAGGCATTGAGGTAGGTTTTTTTGGATGAAAATGCCACACACTGTGTTTCTTGCAGACTGAAAATCAGAAAGGGAATGGGAATCGAATAGCGGGAGGTGTGGGGTGACTGTAGGTTGTCTGAGAGCTGAGCGTCTGAGAAAAAGCTGACTAAATACATGTGATGACAACAACAATGCTCAAATCCTATGCTCTGATTGTGGAGAAAGCGGGTTTTGCTATTCACACTCGCCATCGTCCTAGGCTGTGATTTCCTTACCTCCCGTACAGGACACTATAACAGTATCGCCTAGGAAGGCAGCAAGGTGCCAACTAATACTACCAGACCATGGAAATAGCTGCTTTCAGAGCATTCTCATGGGCACCAGAACAGACACACACGAGGTGATCATATCAGACTTCATGAACAGGCTTCAGAAAACCGCAACAAACAGCCTTTGTTATGAATGGGTAGACAGCATTCTGAAGTCATACTTAACCTCTCCCCCCTGGATTTTCACATCTATGTACGTCATAGCAAAAAGTAATGAATGAACAGACGCGCTGGCAGATATTCTCCACAGCCAGTGGGAAGACGCATGATCAGAGCAGATATCAACGCGCTACGGACCAGGCGGATCTCTTAGCAAACACGATTACATGATCTTATAGTGAAGCTTGGTAAAGATGCTGTCTTCTGTGTCAATATAGGAGGCATTTAACAGGTCTTGCATGAAGCAATAAGTAAAGATACTATTGGGCAGTTGCTGCGTCGGAGGGCAGAGCTTGCATGGGAATTCCCTATGTGCAGTGGCGTCGACTGAGATAACTAGCAAGTCGTAGGTGTTTTCGTCAAGTTAAATGTAGAATGTTAAATGTTAAGGCAGAATTTCACAAGAAGAATAACATTCTCTGCAACAGATGTTTGTCAGCCTAGGCGAGAAAATAAGTTCTTGAGAGCCGTGTAGAGCGAATCATGAAGTAAATCACCGACAGGCTGTAGATTATGGAGGCATTATCTGGGATCTGCAGAGATCTGTTGTTGACGGAGAAGGCTGAGAACAATGCAAAGAAAACTGTCTTTTAAAAACTTAACAAAGAAAACTGAGTACCTGCGCCACGAAAAGACGGTCCGATTTTTGGGCTGGAACTGAGAGGGTTAAACGGAACTACGTGATGACAGTGCAGGGAAGCTGGTAAGGAAGATACATTGAATTTTGAGTTAAGTATCTGCACGCCTTCTTGATTAATTTCACAATGTTTAGCCGACTTTTCTTGATTACTGCCGCGGCACCCCTGGTTAACGCTCGCGGCACCCCAGGATGCCGCGGCGCCCAGTTTAAGAACCTCTGCGTTAGGGCATGCCTACTCTGATCAAAAAGACTGAACTAGGCGGCTTTTGTGGGTGAAATCTATTATTATAATTCACCGGACAAACAGGCAATTACTATCACACTATGAGCAGAGTGTCGAGCAAGGCGGAGCACTGAAGACGCCTTGGTCATCCACTGCATCAGAATGAATTTACAGTTGTCGCGACAGCCTCCTGTCGCTGGATTAAGATGGCTAAATGCAGGAGAGTGAGGCCGACGTATTGCGCAACTCTTCCTCACTTAAATCCAAGTCATTGCGCAAGTCTCTTTTATCCAATTACTTGTGTTCTAACTTCATCGATATCACAAAAGCCTTCGATACAGTCGGTGCGGGGGTGAGGGAGTTAGACTTGTGGAAGATAAAAGCGAATTTTGTTGTTGTTGGTCGCTAGAAGTTTATCAGAATTGTAAAACAGTTCCATGAAAGATTGCAAGCCAGAGCTGAACAATTTATGGGATTCTTTTCTTGTGTCAAGTGGTGTAAAACCAGGATGCTTGCTTGCACTGATCTTGTTCAATGGCTTTTACTGATGATGATGATGATG